TTTGTTTTTTTTTTTTTTTTTTGTGGAGGGGAGAGGGGAAGTTCTTTTTTTTTTCTGCTTCTTTTGTTTTTTGTTTGTTTTGCCTCCCCTGTATAGGAATGGTGTCTTTAGAAGTGTTTGTTATTTACCCATTGTGCAGTAGTAATAATATACTTGTTCAGGATGGCCTGAATTGCTTTTTTCAGGTGACTGGTGTACTTAGCAGAACTTTGCTGGAGAGGGATGGGATGAGCACATGATAATGCTTGATTTTTGAATCTTTTTAAAGAATTTTCTTTGGAGAGAAGATAGTGCCAGTTCCTCAATGTGGAAGACAGGCGCCATCTTCTTTCTCACCTCTTCATTCAAATACGACAGAGAATAAGCTGCCCGTCTCTCAAATTTGGCTTTCCTTCCTAAGTAGAGATGAATGCATTTGTCGTGAAATCTTGTTTAATGTTTTCATAGGTAGTTTTACGCTTTGAGGTCCTTTGTCCTTCTGTCCGGATCTTCTGTTTTCTCCCACCTGTGGTTTGGTTATCTGTCTAGACCGACCTTTTGCAGGGCTAGAGTTGAGCTCTTTCAGGACTTGAGAAGAGTGCATCGCTGATGACTCTTAGCTAGGTGGTAGGTGAGCGTTTCTGCATTTTATGCAAGTGTCATAGCCGGAGGCATAATAAATACACAAAGTGAAAGTCATGGCACAGTCTTAAACAGTGGGCCGTACTTAGCGTATTGCTTCTTTGCCTTTCTCAGAGTTCTGTCTGCTTTGTTCCACGCTCAGCACAAGTTCAACCAGCTGCTCATCTTGCCCCCGTCTCGTTCTTCTGTACAGTTCAAGTTCATTTTAGAACCCATCAATACGTGCCTGTTGAGCAGGACTGTTCCTCCCGTTGCGCAACCTTGCTCTTGCCTGCAGAGAGATTCACGGTCCATCACACTGCTTTGAATGACGGCTTGATTGCTTGTCATTAAATCACCAAATAAGCTTTGAAACCAAGAAAAATCTACAAGGTAAGTGCAGGATAGGAAGCACGTTGAATTCCTTGTGGTATGATTTCTTTGTTGATTTGATTGCTCTTTTCCCCACCAAATGTTGTAGTTTCAAATATTCCAGCTCATGTGGGTAAAAATGTTGCACGTGGAACAGCTGTAACAGTGGGTTTTTCTTGTTGGGTTTTTGTTCCTTTCCATGAAAGGAGAACCGAATATTCTGGGGAGTCTTCTTTGTGATAGGACAGCTTTAAGTAGGCATGCTAATACCTGAGCTTCTTGGGGCTCGACTTGTGCTGTGACTGAAGAAAAGTCGAGCTATAAACGAGAAGTGCGTATGTGGGTGAGCACGTGCGTCTGCATGCGTGTAGGCCAGCCGGCGCGGCGCCCGCACGATGGCGCTGCGGCCCTTCTGATCCCGAGTCAGCAGCAAAGAAGTGCTTTGCTCCTTTCCGACGCGCCCGCATCTCGGCGCGCTTAGCCGAGCTTCGTGGAGCTATGCTGCTGCTAGTGGAGCTCCTTCAGCTCCTGCATTTCCCTGTCACCTGTAGGGAGCGTCTGTACTGCAGCGCATTCCATGTCTCTCCCCTCTGTCACTTCTGGAGCTACATTTCGCACACTCGCCCTGCTGAAGAGATGTACTGCCTATACAGTGTTGTTTCAGAACGGTGCCCAGCACTTCTTGGGCTTCTGTGCCATTTCCTGTACCTGGAAAGGATTGAAAAGTACATAGCAAGCTCATCTGAACCGCGTGGGGGCAAAGGTTGGGCTGCCCTCTGCGCGCTGGCACCCAGTGCCTGCATTGCTTGAAGGTTTTCCGGTTTTCTCATGAACATCTAGTGTTGTTCCTCAGTACATCTGTAACAGTCCTTAAGACATCCTCTTGAAAGTTCTCTGAAGAGCAGAATTATTACAAAAAAATATATATTTACAGAAGTGGCATCAGTTTCACCACTACATTCTATGAAGCTTATACAAATGTCCTTCACCCAAAGCAGAAACCACATGCCGTGTTTGTCAGAAGCTCTCAGGAGATGTTCTCATCGGCTTATAAGCCAGGCCTTCACCCTTTAGCCTTATTTCAGCTGTGTAGCCTTATATGCACACTGCTTGCAAGCAAAAGCTACAGCAAAAGATCTCCTCCCTCAGCTTCACTGAGCTTCTCAGATGCCTTTTTTTCTTTTTCTTTTTTCTTTTTTCTTTTTTTCTTTTTTGCCATGGTTTGAAGCCTCTGATGTTATCTTTCATCTTGAGCCTCCACTGCCATCCTGGTTCACTCAGGGTTTGCCCTGAAGTGTCAGCAGCAGGCACATAAAAACTGCTGCCACCTTATTGTTGACAGGCTTGGCACCAGTTGGTGGGTTGTGAGCGATTGATTGCTTTGTGCATCACTTATTATGTAGATATACATGTATGTCATATTTTTTTTCCTGTTCCTTTTCTCAATGTTCGTAAATAGTTTTATTTTGACCTGTGAATTCTAAGTTTTTTTTTTTAATTCTCTCCCCCATCCCACTTGGGGGGGAGTGAGGGAGTGGGAGGGGAAGGGGGAGAAGCGAGTGAACAAACAAACGCCTGTGTAGTGCTGAGCTGCCTGCTGGGTTAAGCTGCAATAGATGACTTCTGAAGTTGCAACATTTCCAACTGCTTGAAGTGCGTTCTGTATAAGTCTTTTTCATCGTAAATGTGATGTCTCGGTGTCACCGCATGCCAGATGGGGGAGAATGAACATACTGGGAAAAAACTGGAAAAGGACAGGTGTACTATCTATTAAGGTGAAGTATTGTACCTCATGAGCAGGTACAGCTGAGACCTCATTGAATGTGGATAATTTTGACCATATCTGGAGAAAGCTGTTCAGTAATGCTTTCATGTGCCTTTGGTTAACCAAGAAAGATGTAGGTATTGTCAGCTGAAGCTGCCAGTCTTAAACTAGTATTTCTGTTTGGATGTTGGCTGCAAAACAATACCAAAATGATTATGCAGGTTCTGTGCAAAATCCCAAATACTGTTCCTCCACTCAGTGAGCTTTGAACATTTGGATGCAGTTGGAAGAGTTAACTGAAAGGTTTCCAGCTGGCAGTTTGTCCTTACGTCATCTCCAAGTCCAACAGTTCCATAGATTCAATCACTCAGGGGGTAGAAATGTGGAAGAAAGCTGACTTAGGTGAATATTTGAGAGTTTGATGGAAGTGAACTGCCTTAAAAGCAGCTGACAATAGAAAAATATACTTCTAGTGTTTGAAAAAAAACCAGTCATATTATTTGTTGTTGTGCAAATAAGCTTTTTCCTTGCTTGCAGGCTTGTGAGATCCAGGTTTTTGATTTTGAAGGAAATGATTTGTGAAAGATCATGGGAATCATATGGTTTTATGCTTAGCAATCTTATTAAAAACTTGAACTGACCTTTAGAAGCTTTTCTCCATGGTGTTATCTGGACAGATCTGCAAGTGGATGTCAACATGGAAGTTTGTATTGATCTTCAGTAGAAAACAGCATTCATACCTACCAGGTGAGACAGGCAGCTACTGCACACTGATGAAAGCATGAGTACTTTAAATCAGCCTCCTTCCCATTTATTAACCTGCATATGTGAATGCCTCACAGAAATGCCTCATGCCCAGATGTCAAAATGAAACACTGCTGCCTGTAGTGATTGGCGACATCATGGAAGATGATTCTGATTAGCTGCAATTTGCAAACTACTTGCAAATATTTCATTTCCAGAAGACTGCAAGTTATTGACCATGTGACATCGGAGAAAAAGTCATAGTGGGAGGTGAGAGTGAACTTCTTGTTCCAGAAGCTATTAACAGAGCTCTCGTTGGTACTGGGCACTTCATGATATGCACTTAATTACACCACAGAAGTGCTACTTTTAAAATGGTATTTTTGTGAAAACAGGCTCATTGCTGCCTTCTCCTGCGTGGGAGAAGTAGTTGCACACTTGGTGTAATCTTATGTTGTTCTTACTGCAAAACTGACCTTTTTCAAAATGTCACGTGTTTGGTGTTTGGTGAGTCTCAGACTTGACTTATTTCTGTGCGTTTTCATAAGGAACAGCAAGTGAAGAAAACAAGTTGCTTTGTTTAGGGAAAAAAAAAACAACCACAAATTTTTAACAGCAGTTCTATCAATTTCACAATCCCTGGCGCTTAACCACTGTGTCTTAAATTATCTCAAAAAGCTGTTGACTTTTGAAGGCTCAGTTATCACCAGGCTCCATCCGAGCTTAGGCTTTGCTAAGTGGCAAGGGCAAGAGGCACGGTTACTGCATCACTTTTCAGTACAAATCTTTTGCTGCTCAGAATTCCTAACCAGATGGATGGTGGTGTCCCTTCTCTGTCTGCAGCTTTTGAGTGCTGTCACCTGAAGCCTGGCCGTGGGCCTGCTCAGTTATTGGGAAAGAAACAGACTTCTTGGCTCATTTCTTCTGCAGTCTGAGCTGTCTGTTGTACAGTGGTAAGAGGAATAAAATAACTAGCATTGGCTCCCAGCTCCTCTGACAATCTTTTGGGAGAAAGTGTAGTGCAGGCACTGTCCAAGTTCTTCAGGAGGCTGCTTCACAAAGATGCCTGTGCTCGTGGGTATTTGGAAAAGACACATAATCCTCCATTGGCAGGGATGGATCTCACTAGTCCTGGTCTGCTATCATGAAATGTGAGGCTGAGTCAGGTAGTTAAACATTATGTGTTCTTCTCAGGAGTATAAAACCCCCAAAAGAAACCGACTCCCTACAAACAGAAAACCACAGCACGAACTTCTCAGGAAAGCTCCACTGACACATTCTGTCATCTCTCCAGTCACAGAATTTCTGTCTTTGCTGAAATGTGGTGGGA